AAAGGCAATGCAGCGACAGGCGGCAGCCGCAATCATGCAGAACAGCTCTGCGGGGCTACAAACCGCCGACGCTGAAACGCAGATCGTCTTCAATAAGGCCATGGTCACCGGCAGTGTGCCGATGGCCCAACAAACAAGATTCATTGAGCGCAGCAAGCAGGATATGGAGGACCATCTCGAGCGCGCCAAGGCTCACCACAAGGTGGTGGCAACCTACACTGCAGGCCTCGGTTGCAATATCGACGAGGTCTAGGACATCAGGAACGACACCAAGAACGCGAGAGACGACATCTATGCCAACGCTGGGTTCGCTGATGATGAAGCAGAACCAAACCCCAAGGCAAACCAAACGAAGATGCCACTTCAGCACCAGCAGGATGGAGACAAACATGGTCTTGGGAGTCCACCGAAGGGAAGGACGTAGCAGCGCTACCCAAGACGTTCAACGAGGACAACCAGCGCCCCATATAGTTCGTCAGGAAGGACGAAAAAGAGGCCAAGCAGAAGTTCGACAGTCCCAACAATACCAAGAACGGCTAGAGGTGGCCAGGGAGGATGCACATACTGGGCTGCAATGCGTCAACAACGTGAACGCGCAGTTGAAACGGCCGTCGACAGCGGGCGCAACAGCAGAAGCACACCAGCTACGAGGCGGAAGGAGCCCCGAGCAAACTCAAGGAGGAACTCATCACCGCCATGGTTACGACCGACGAGGTGGCAATCCACCACGAGTACGCTCAAGAAAGGAAAACGATGAAGCTCCACGACGCAGAGGAATATATCCAGATCACGAAGAGGGCCAACATCGCTCTCCAGAAGAAGCTGCCACCACGGGACATGTTAACACGTTAACCTGCGTCGCCGACGTCGAGAGGGAGCTCAAACAAGCGCAGCAAAGGCTCGAACAACATGAACAGGACACGCGTACCGCCCGAGAACGCCTACAACGGAACAGGCAGCCGCCGAAAGGGACGCCTTCTACACTAGGATGAAAGGGACAGAGGGCACATCTCCAACTCCAAAGCACAGCGGATCAGCGAACAACGGCTCCAGCAGCAGTTGGTGACCCTTCGCAATGCGGCGGGGAGCTCCTGCAACCTGCTCCGAAGCGCACCCGTGGAGATGCAGCATATTGGAAGGCGCGCGGAGTCCTTTCGTCCACGAGACGTAGGAGCAGTTCCAGGAGAGGGTCCACAACGTCGAACGCGAGGTCCGAGCCAGGGATTCACAGCAAGCGCATCAGCGCGAAACACAAATGAGGCAGGTGCTTGCCGGCACGGGCGTCTCCCAGGAGCAGGCGCAGCTCCATGCCGCCCACGCCGAAGGCCAAGGTAAATTCATACATCAAGAGTGCAGAGATGTGCTCTTTCCGACACAACGAGATCCGCCAGCACGAGACCGCCGTACACAGACAAGAAGAGGCCACGTGGAGGGAGTGGAACGACATCAACCACAGGGACATGGAGGAAGCAAACCAGATGTACATACGGAGCGTTCCAAAATATCCTTGCATTCGAACGTCGAAGGAGTTGCCATCTTTTCTTCGGCGGAAGGCGGCGGAAGGCGGCGGAAGTAAAACGGGGCCGCTTCAGCCGGCAGAAGCCGGCGGAAGGTGGCGGAAGTAAAAGATGCGCCCCGCAGGCATATGGAAACGTCTTTGGGTTCAGGGTTTCCGGAATCCGCCATATACGCCCAACAATCCGCAGCATTAGCGCAACAGCGTCTATCCGAGATGGAAACGCACGACCAGTAGGACAAGGTCCTGCGCGCCGGGATCCTCGGCGACGCCGAAGCAGTTGCCCCAGTCGTGCAACGGGTGCAACCACAGCGCGCAGGGATCGGCGATCGACAATGCCCATCTGGCGCAACCGCAGACCGATGAGGCGGCTCGAGATGCAGATCATTCGGGCACCGTTGTCTCGCATCCGACCCAGGCCGAACCGTATCATGGAGAAAAGCGCGGCGACGAAAGACCGCAGCGCATATTCCATGAAGCCTCGCCGACGAGAGCAGCAGACGGCATCACGCGAGGAAGCGAAGAAGGGAGCGCCCCACCAGCGACGCAGTTGGCGGCCACCGATTGCCGCCGTCTTCCGTGTCCCAATTCGCAAATCTGCGCGGACCTGTGAACGCTCGAGTCATGTATCTTTTCATCCTCTCAGGCCGACATCTTCGTCGGTTCGGTCTGGTATCGTAAACCTTCTGGCCTGGCCCAGTGAGGTTCGGCGTCGTGAACTGCACCGCCTCGGACGGGGCTCGGACGAGGATGATCCGTTGCAGAGCGCTCCGGGGCGCTCCGAGAAGGCCGCGACGCCCGAGACACTTCCTCGAGAGCCGCCGGATCTCAGAGGTTCTCGATCAGTTTCTTCACCCGATTCATGGGCTTACGCCGCACCGCCGACCCCTTGGGGCGGCAGCAAGAGTGAAAGGCAGAATTCGCGGAACGCGCGCGATCGCTGGGCAATCTTGGGGTTTCCGCCTGTCCTACGTAGCGTGTTGGGTTCAAGGGGGGGCCTTGTAGGGGATTGTTTTGAAGTTTTTCGTGGTCTTATGTGAGTTTCTTGGGGCCTTCACTGGGCCTGTCCCAGGCCTCCTTTTCCACCTCCGGGATAGGCTCGGGGATCATTGCGACCCAGCTGGGGTTGCGTCCGGCCAGAAGTTCGAGAGTGGACCCAGCTGTGTCGACGAGGAGCTTCCTGAAGGCCCAGAGGGGGCGGAGAGCGCCCAAGAACTAGGAGTCTCATGCCTCCAGCCCCGATCCACCCCGTGTTCCTTCCTTTGCGAAGGGGTGGCATCCGCCAGGGAGGTCGATCCTCATCCCGGACTTTCGGCGGTGGTCCCCGGCACTGAAAACGGTACCTGGAGGCAGAATTCGAGGAGATGCCTCGGCTGGTCGAAAGACCACGAAGATCTGTGAGACATCTGCGGCGACGACGAAATCTTATTTCTTTTCGTTCCTCTTCCTCCTCTTCCTCTTCCTCCTCCTCGTCCTTCTCCTCTTTTTCTTTTCGATCGAGGTAGGTGCTCACGGCAGTTCGTATGGATATATGTATATATATATATATATATATATATTTGTGTGGTTCCATAACCATATATATGTACATGTATATGTATGTATGTATGCATGTATATATGCATGTGTGTATGTATGCCTGCATGCATGCATGCATGTATGTATGTATGTATGCATGCATGCATGCATGCATGTATGTATACATGTATGCATGTATGTATGTATGTTTGTATGTATCCATGTAATTATACATGCATGCATGTATGTGTGTATGTATGTATGCATGCATGCATGCATGTATGTATGTATGTATGTATGTATGCATGCATGCATGCATGCATGCATGCATGCATGTATGTATGTATGTATGTATGTATGTATGTATGTAGGTATGTATGTATGTGTGTATGCATGTACGTACGTACGTATGTATGTATGTATGTATGTATGTATGTTTGTGTGTATGTAGCTCTCTCTCTCTCTCTATATATATATACATATATATATATATATATATATATATATATATATGTATAGCGGCCTTCGGCCCATCCCGCCACCGTGCCTTGGTTGTCGGCCTGAGATCCTTGGTGCCTGGGTCGCGGGTGCGAAGTCACATGGCTCAAGTGGTACTTGGGGCTTCTTTTGAGCGTCTTGGGGGTCTCTTGGGGCCTCTTGGGGGGCCTCTTCGGGGCCTCTTGGGGGGCCTCTTGGGGGGCTTCTTGGGGGCCTCATGGGCCCTGTTGGGCGCCTCTTGGGCTCCCTGGGGCCGTTTTGGGGCGGAAGGCTCGGATTGTTGGTTCAGGCTCCCCCTCTTGGGCCCCTCTTTGGGCCGTTTTGGGGCAGTCTTTGGGCGGTCTTGGGGGCCTCTTGGGCCGTGTTGGCGCCCCCTTGGGCCCTTTCGAGCGCTTCCTGGGAGCCTCTTGGGCCGTTTTGTGGCGGTCTTGGGGGACTCTGGGGCCGTCTTTAACGTCGTCAAGGCCGAAAAGTCGTGTATGATAAAAATATACGTATCCCCATCGGATTTCGACGATTTTGGCCTCAGGGGCCCCTCTTGGGAATTCTATTGGAGGCTTCCTGGGCCGTCTGGGAGGCTTCTGGGGCCGTCTTGGGGCCATCCTGGGCGTCTTGGGCCGACCTTTGGGCGTCTCGGGGGCCTTTTGGGCCGTCGTGGGGGCTGCTTGGAGCCCTCTGCGGCCTCGCGGGGCCTGGTGAGGCCTTTGCCCTCCCCCCGCCCCCCCTCCAAACCAGCCGGACCGGGCTCCCGTGGGAGGGGTTCGGGGAGGGGGAAGCATCTCACACGCCGTGACTCCAAGGGTTCGGCGGATGTTATCCTCGTCCTGGCCTCGTCTTACCGTCCGGTCCGCCGGATGCCGCCGAATGCTGCCCGTGGCCGCCGATGGCCGTCGATGCCCAGGTCGACAGGCACGAGGGCTTGCGGTTCACGCTGGTGGACCCCCCGGAGCTGCTGGTTTTCGCCTCCGTCCCGGCTGGGCTGCAGGCGGGTAGCGGCCGTCGCTGCCGCCGCCGACAGTTGCGATCGTCGTCGTCGTGGTGGTCGTCGTCGTGGTCATCGTCGTGGTCGTTGTCGTCGCCGTCGTGGTCGTCGTCATGGTGGTCGCTGTTGTCGTGGTGGTCGTCGCACTGGTGGTCGTCGTTGGTGTCGTCGTCTGTGTCGTCGTCGCCGCCCTCGTCGTCGTTGTCGTCGTCGTCTCGGCGGCGTGCAAACGGCGTCGGGGCGATGGTGGCGGCCTTCCAAGAAGGCATGGGGGGAGATCTCAGGAGCCCGCCCCCCTTCGCCTCTCGGGCCGGGCGAACGGAGGGGACTCGTATTGTTAAGTCGGGCCTGTCCCTCTACAGGCGGAATATTCAAGGAAAGGATCGGAAAAAATAGTCAGGGGACGATTTTCGATTATGTTTGGACTATTTTTGCATGTTTTTGCTTATTCTCATGTTTCCTTTCAAAATCCGCCTGTAGGAGGGCATGCCCGACCTAATCGTAAAGGGGAGGGATGTCACGAAATCTGCTGCATGCAGCTGGTTTCGGCTCCGCCGCTGGTCGTTCTCGGCGCCGGGGGGAGCCATAAAAACTAGCTGCGTGCCGCTGATTCGCCAACGTCCACTTGCTATCCCCCTCTTTCGTCCGGTCCGACTCGCACCACCCTCTCTTGCGCGCTGGCACTTGTCGTCGTCGTTGTCGCTGTCGTCGCCGCAGCCGCCTTCGCCTTCGCCTTCGCCTTCGCCTTCGCCTTCGCCTTCGCCTTCGCCGCCGCCGCCGCCGCCGCCGCCGTCGTCGTCGTCGTCGTCGTCGTCGTCGTCGTCGTCGTCGTCGTCGTCGTCGTCGTCGTCGTCAGTCGCCGCCAGTCGCCAGTCTCTCGTCGTCGTCGTCGTCGTCGTCTGCGTCCTGCGTCGTCTTCGTCATCGTCGTCGCAAGTCGCCAGTCGCCCGTCGTCGTCGCGTTGTCTTTTCCGTGGTGCCGCGATCTGGGCCCCAATTTGCCACATCGACTCTCCCCAGACCTCTCCAGGGGTGCCTTTTCCGGCTGGGGCGGTGCCCATTGATGGCCTTGGTTTCCTGCCGCCCGTCCCATCCCTCGTCTCTCGCCGCCGGCTCTCCTCCCACCTCTGGGGTCGCCGACCTCGATGGGGAGGCTTCGGCTCCTCTCCGAGGGCTCCGTCGCGGGGCTTGGACACCTCCCCTTGTGACCTCTGGTCTGGGGTCCTCTGCTTGGACAGCTACCCTTGTGACCTTTGGTAGCGCATGTCTGTGGGCCACAGACATGCACTACCACTTCCGCGAGCTCGTTTGTTGCCATGGAGGTTGATTGAGTTATTGGTTCGGCGGTGGGTCGCGCAAGTTGTGTCAAACCACGGGATGGTAGCATGCCATCTGCGCATCGCCATTTGGGCGCGCGGCTCTATGCGCAAGAAACAACGCATCCACATGGGGTATGCATATGTATACATGTATGTTTGTGTATACATATACATTTATATCGGCTTGGTGTATACTTACAATTATTTGAGGTGGCAGTCGTTTTTCATACCACCCTCTAGTTGCAATCGAGTGCTTGGCAGCAGCTGTGCTCGACCACACGTGGCCGCCCTCCGCGTGCACGACCACGCGTGGCGCAGGCGCGCCGTGGCGGCCCCTATGTCGGGGCGGTCGCGCGGGTGATTCGTGCCTTGTCTATTGCCGCCGCCTGGTGGCTCAGTGTATTTCCAAGGGAGGGGAAGCCACCCCGTCCCACAGAACTGGCGTGTACTGAACGGCCCCGGGCGTTTACGAGGCAGCCCTGCCTTGCTTTCCTTCCTCGAGTGCGTTGACGACACGGCGTCGCCTGCCGGGGTGCTTATTACGAAGGCGGTTCTTCTGCTGTCTATACATCACCGTGGCGACAGTTCCTGTCAATCTGCCTTGGCCAATAGCGCATCAGCGCGGAGTAGTTTGGAGTAGAAATACTTAAACTATTCCGCGCGTGGGTGCATCCCGCTCGTTAATGCAGTGGGTTTGGAGCGGAGCCGTTTCCAATCCGGTTTTGGGGTAACAGAGTTTTCGGCATTATGCGGATCGTAAACTATTCCGCCGAATCGCGCAGTCATCATGTAATGTTAGGAATATTCAGAGGGATACGGGTTGAGAAACCTTTGAGCACGGCTGTGTATTAGCTGGCCCTACATGTGGTGACCCTGGCCTCATGCCGCTCGCCCATCTCACCGCATCTCATCTCAAGGAGGGTGCGCAATCGGTCAGGACGTTCGGGGCGGACCCGTCCGCGGCGGCGGGCGCGCTCAGAGCAGCCAGCCACTACACATCTGGCAACCTCGAGTGTCGACATGCTCAGGGAGTAGGTAGGAAGACGTCGGAAGGAGGAGGGAGTAGGGAGGAGGGGACAGGGAAGAGGAGGAGGAGGAGGAGGAGGAGGAGGAGAGGGAGGAGGAGGAGGAGGAGGAGGAGGAGGAGGGGGAGGCCGCGGTGGAGGCGGGGAGGCGGCGGCGGAGGCGGAGGCGGCGAGGAGGAGGAGGAGGAGGAGGAGGAGGAGGAGGAGGAGGAGGAGTTCTTCGCCCTCTCACCCGCAGCCGGCGCAGGTGGCCCTCTGGCCCTTCCTCCGGGAGCACCTGGGGCGGTGCTCGTGGCCCGGGTGGGCCGTGCGTGCTGCCGGGTGGCTGTCGGCGGCGGCGTGCAAGGCGCCCGTGGGGGCCGGGGCCTGGCCGCCGGGGGCGGGGGAGGGAGGAGGAGGGATGGAGGGGGAGGGAGGAGGGACGAGGGTCCTCCTCCTCCTCCTCCTCCTCCTCTTCTCCTCGTTTTCCTCCTCCTCCTCCTCCTCCTCCTTCTCCTCTTCCTCCTCCTCCCCCTGAAGGAGGAGGAGGAGGAGGAGGAGGAGGAGGAGGAGGAGGAGGAGGGTAGTGCAACCCCCATACGCATTCACGATCACGATGCTGGAATAGACCTTCCCTCCAGAAGTGGCCCGCTGGAGTCAAACGTTTGAGAATTCTCAATCGTGGCAGGGACTTCACGCCGCGAGTCAGCGTGATTGTTGCGTGCTTGACAATCTGAAGTCGTGCCAGAACACCATTCGTGCGACTTCAACACCGCGAATCAGGATGATGGTGATGGTGATGATGGTGATGGTGATGATGGTGATGATGGTGATGATGGTGATGGTTATGGTGGTGATGATGATGGTGATGATGATGATGATGCTGATGATGATGATGGATGATGAGGATGATGATTATGATGCTGCTGCTGATGATGATGATGATGATGGTGATGATGATGCTGATGCTGATGCTGATGCTGATGCTGATGCTGATGCTGATGCTGATCCTGATGCTGATGATGCTGCTGATGATGATGGTGATCATTGTGATGGTGATGATGATGTTGATGATGATGATGATGCTCATGATGCTGATGATGATGATGATGATGATGATGATGCTGAAGAAGAAGAAACAGAAGGAGGAGGAGGAGGAGGGTAGAGAGTGGGCGACGGAGAACGAGGAGGATGAGGATAATGGTGAGGAGGAGGAGATGGAGGGACCAGTGTAAACCCAGAACTTCTCAACGATGTTGAAAGACACCCTCCCCCAAGGTCCCTTTTCACGGGCTCCCCCCCACAGGGGTTCATTTTCACTGAGGGAAGAACCCCGTTGGGAGACGAGCGTCTGAAAATCTGTAAAAGCGCGCCAGGACGCCATTCCATGGACCTCAACGCATCGAATCAACGTTACCGCCCGTCCTGACGATCCTGAATCGTTCCAGAATCCCGCTCCTGGGACCTCAGCACCGCGAATCAACGTATCGGTCGCGCCCTGGCAGTCCTGCTACATCGTGCCAGAACGTCGTTTCTGGGACTCCAGCCATACGAATCCTTGACCTTGTTCAACTTCTACGTCGAATGTGCGCTGCGCTGGGACGAGAGCCAGATCCTGAAAAAAGGGTATCTGTTGCCCTGCAACCGTGACGCTCTTGCAAACTTTAGACGAATTTGCGCATCGCGGCGCTAATGCGACATCCACATGTTCACAGCGGACCGCCTGTCACCCATGAGACCTTGGCACCCGGTTAAGACGAGTGTACTGCGCTAGCGCGAGAACCGCATGTTGAAAACGCGCCGCCCTCCATCCGTCAAGCTTTTGAGACGAATGTGCGCGTCGCTGAGGCGATAACCACATTTTGTAACCGACCCGCCTTCCATCCGTGAAGCTGTTGCAAACCTTCTAGACGGGTGCGTGCGGCGCTAAGGCGAGAGTCATATTTTGAACAGACCCGCCCTCCATCCGTGAAGTTGTTGCACATTTTCAGCTTCAGGAGAATACCTGGTGAGGGGGTCTCAGGCGAAACGCCCAGCCCGCCCTACCAACCAGTCTCGGGGTGCGACAGGGAGGAGTTATTCACACGGGGAAAGGGGACGGAGGAGGGCGGGGCAGATGGAGGAGAACAGTAATAGCAATAAGTCTAAGTGGCAAGAGTAATATACAAGAGTGATCCCAGCGCGAACTCAATTGACCTCAGGAGGTCTTCTGTTTTGCCGCGCCCCCCCAGTTTCTCTCGGCGGGGAATCAACTCCTCCTCTTTGACCTCCTCCTCTTCCTCCTCCTTCTCCTCCTCGCCATCACTATCATCACTATCCTCCTCATCCTCATCCTTATCCTCATCATCCTCATCCTCCTCCTCCTCCTCATCATCAGTATCATCATCATCCTCATTATCATCATCTTCGTCATCTTCGTCATCATCATCTTCTTCATCATCATCGTTGTTGCGCGGCGGGTGCCGCGGATACATATTTAGTTGCATCATTGGTGGGCCCCAGTCCGTCAATATGAGCGTCGCACAGATTCTTAATGTCCACTATCGTAGGTGGGTCTATAGACTTATGGCGGTTATTGGTGTTCTTTCTCCGAAAGCAGTGCAACACGGTTCTCAGCAATGCAACGCAATGCAAGGCATTGCTTATTATTGCTTGGCATTGCTTGCATTGCCAATCGACGCCGGGGACCCCCGAGGAACCCGAGCAACGCTGGAAGTTGCCATTGCAAAGCAACGCCAGGGATCAACGACAAGGATCACCGGGAACCCCAATGATCCCAGAGTGTCGCCGAGGGCGGAGGACCCCGCACCCTTCACAAACGAGTTAGTCACAGCCTCATCGGCAAAAGATGAGGATGAGGACGAGGGGGAGGCCAGGGGTGAGGAGGAGGAGGAGGAGGAGGAGGAGGAGGAGGAGGAGGAGGAGGAGGAGGAGAAGGAGGACGAGGCGGAGGAGCAGGAGGAGGAGGAGGAGGAGGAGGAGGAGGAGGAGGAGGAGGTGAGGAGAGGAGGAGGAGGAGAAACCAACATGCATTTACTAGGGTGAGTTGTGTGTGTGTGTGTGTGTGTGCGTATTGTTTTTCGGGGTCAAGGGGCGCGAACCGTCGCCGCCGTTGGTGATTCGTCTGCCTGCGGATGCTCCCGCTGAGGAGCCCACTGAGGCCAACAGGAGAAGGAGGGAGGAGGAGGAGGAGGGAGGAGGGAGGAGGGAGGAGGGAGGAGGATCAGGGAGGAGGAGGAAGAGGACGAGGACGAGGAGGCGGGCGGGTGAGGGAGGAGGAAGGGAGAAGGGAGGAGGAGAAGGAGGAAGTGGCGGAGGAATAGGAGGGAGGAAGGAGGATGAGGATCGGATCGGATCGACTCGGCAGGAGGAAGCGTCATGCCCCGCAGCGTCGTCTGGGCCCTCCTCCCCTCTGGGGGGCCATAAGTTTGGAGCTTAAAGCTCAAGAGTGGTTGTGGCAATATTCATATTCCGCCCTGCCCTGCGGCCCAAAAACACCACGGCTCCAACAATCCATCTTGGCCAGGAGGGAGGAAGAGGGGGAGGGAAGCACCTCACACGTTTTCCTGGCTCGCAGAGCATGCGAAGATCAATGCGGGCAGTCAGACTTTGAGTTCGCGTGGCTGAACTGGGGCGCCCAGACATTCTCGCGTCGCGGAAAAAACTCAACACATGTTTGGTCAATTTCCGTGCTGGTTGGTCCTCACTGGACCCCAGTACCATTACAGAAACATTTGGGATGACAAGCTGGTCCAGGGGAAGAGGTCCATACCTCCAGGGGCCCACGTTGGGAAACGGCCACGACGTCGCTGTTCTGGGCATGCTTCTCTTCGCCACGCCCAGGCCGGCCCACTGGCGTGGGCGAGTTCCTCTGGCCGTGCGCCGCGAAGCGTGTGCAGCGGGGGGCCGCCCAGAGTCCGCAAGGCACCTCTCGCCGTCACCACCGGAGGGGCGGTGCGGCGCCCCCGAACGGCCCAGCAGCCCCGGCCGCCAGCTTTCCTGCGGGTGCCACGGGCGCTTCCCCCTGGCCCGGCACCGGCCCGGGCCCCGAGATCTGCGCGGGCGGCGTGGGCCCAAGCGCAGGCCTGGCTCGGTGGAGCCGTCGACGACAAGCCCCAGCGCGAAGTCCAGCACACGCCCGCCTGGCTTCTCGGCAGCGGAGTCGAGCACAAGACCGCTCCTCAAGCAGGGGCGAAGCGTCCAAGCTCGCCTATAGAAAGAACCTTTTGCGGTCTGCCCGAACTGTCCTTAGAAAATGTCTGGCTTGGGCTGTCTTGTTTTAAAACATCGGGTTAGGTTTTTGTTCTTAGAACATTCTTGGGTTCTAAGAACATGTCGTGGTAGGCCTGTAGGAATGCCGGGACGGTCGGTCCCTGTGCGAGCTCTCGAGCACACTTCAGATGCCCCCGTGCCGACCGGCCACGTGGAGCTTGGCGCGCAGGAGAGGGCGCCCCGCGGCCCCGCTGGCCACAGGAGAGTGTTGAGGGAGCGATGGCCCCCACTTTACCTGGCCCGTCACGGGGTGCTTGCCGCGGCTCAGCTGCTCCCTGGTGTCGTGCTCCTCCCGCCTGGACTCAAGTCGGTCATGTCCCTCTACAGGAGGAGTCTTCTAAGATAGTTAAAACGTCGTCGGGGGACGATTTTTCTGAAAAATGCCATTTTGACTGTTCTGTGGCATTTTGGTGACCATGTTTTCCGTCCAAAATCCGCCTGTAGGAGGACACGCCCGACCTAAGCCTGGACTTCGGGTGCACCGCAGCTGGGGGGCAAAGTCTACCTAGTTCAATCTGGCGCCTATGCCAACTTCCGTTCGCATTTTTTCAGCCACAAGCTTCTGTAGGCACATTGGGTGTCGTTGCGTCTATAGACGCAGTCGGGGTGAATGCGTCTACAGACACCGCGGCCGTCGCGTTCGGCGCAGTACGAGGTCGGAGAACGGGTAGATCCATCTACGGCATGCCCCTGTTCTACAGGATGCCCCTCTTCCGCCCGACCCGACTCGTCCCGCCCATTACAGCACTCGCGTGCCAACTGGATCGCACATCCGTCGTCGCCGTCGTCGTTGTCCTCGTCGTCGACGCTGTATTCGATGCGGTTCTCACGAGGGGAGAGATGATCTTTCTGGTGGGGTGGCTTGCGGGTGGGATTGACGGCCACCGCAGGTGGGTTCGTGGGACCCGAGCACAGGGCAGCAGGGCATGTGAGGAAAGGCCTTTCTGGTGTGGGAGGTCGGTAGCCGCGCGCCTGTCGGATACCGTATCTCGTAGACCACCCTTGGGGCTCACAGTCTATTCATCTATCTGTCGACCTCGATCTCTACCGCTGTCGCTACCTACGCGTCGATCTCACGATCGATTGCCTCGCTGTCTGCCCATTGGTATCACGACGTATCCATCGACCTCGCTACCCATCTGCCAATCTCACTCTGGATCGGTCTCGCTGCGAACTGATTAATTTGAGGATTACTATCAACTATCACTTCTTAATTGGTTGATCACACATACGTATACGTATACATACGTAATTCTATGACATTTTATAGTCTACATCTACATATACACATCAGGGAGATCCCAGGCCCGAGGCCCCCCGCCAGCACCTCCACTGTATTTCGGTGCCCCTTCCTTCCTCGGGGACCTCCCCGGGCACCCCCCCGGAGGTCACCAGAAGACCTGAGAGTCTTCCACGACGGCCCAAGACAGCCTCCGACTAGCCCTCGAGGCCCCCAAAAGCGCCCCACGAGAGCTCCAACACGGCCCCAGATGACACCGCGACAGCCCCAAGGCGCCCCAAGACGCCCCGAGAGGCTGCAAAGCGGGCCCCAAGAAGCACATACTCCCGTCATCCCGTTGGGAACATTTTTTTTGTTAGCGTGGATTCGCCTCTTGGGCTTTCACAGCGTCCAAGACGGCCCAGGAGGCTCCCAAGACGGCCCAGGAGGCTCCCAAGAGAGCGCCAAGACGGCCCAAGCAGGGTCCAAGACGGCTCCGAAGGTTTCCAAGATGGTGGCCCAAGACAGCCCCAGGACAGGCCGAAGAGGGGTCCCAGAGGAGGAAAACCACGTTCAAATTTCGCGCCTTGGCCCCAAGAGGGCCCCCAGGAGCCCCCAGGAGGCCCCAAAGAGGCCCCCACAGGCTTCAAGAGGCTTCCAAAAGCCGCCCACGAGGCTCCCGGGAAGCCCTCGAGGGGCCCAACAAGTTTTTTTTCCAGATGCCCCCGGGAGGCCTCCACGATGCCTCCAAGACGCCCCCCAAGAGGCCCCAACAATTGCCTCCAAGATTCCTCCAAGACGCTTACGTTTCAACTGAAGTGTTGCAACGCAGTTTGTTTAGCTAATGATTTCACGGTCCTGGCACGATCTCCGAATTTTCCCGTGCCCAGGCGTGGGCCTCAATGGGAGGGGGACGCCAAGCGAAGTTGCCCACTGATGCCACAGTTGGAGCTGCTGCTCGGGCATGGTTCGCGTGACGGGCGTGCGGACATGGGCGGGGGCGCGCTGTACGAACCATGTCTCTGGGCCTTTTGGTGGTGCTCCTTGTGCGGACGATCCGCGTGATGGGGCTTATCGCAATGGCCAGAGGGCGGTGCGCAGTGCGAACCCTGCCTCTGGGGCCTCAGGTGGAGATCCCTGTGGGCCACGATCTGTGTGAGAGGTGTGCCAAAGTGGGCGGGGGGGCGGGACGCGAGACTTGGGGCCGTCCGTGGAACTTTTTGCGGGCCACGATCCGTGTGAGAGTTGTGCCGAAGTGAGCTGGGCGACGCTATGATGCTTCCTTCTGGTGCCTCAACTTCAGGTGCTTGCGGGGCACAATCCGCTTGGGGGGCGTGCCACTATGTGAAACTTGTCTCTGGGGACGTAGGTGTAGCTCCCTGTGGGGCGCGATCCCTGCGAGGGATGTGCCGACATGGGCGGGGGGACGCTAAGCCAAGCTTGTCTCTGGGGCCGCAGGTGGATCTCCCTGTGGAGCACGATCCGTGTGACAATATATGTCCTCCGATGCCGAACACTTTTAGATTACAACTACAGCATGCTAGAACCTAAGCGCGCGCGTGGTTCTAGTACATGATATATATTTATATAGACACACGTATACATGTGGGTTGACTTACTCACTTACGTACCTCTCGATCTCACCATCTATCGATATCACTGTCTATAGTAATGCGTGGTTTTCGATGTACCATGCGATGTGAACATCGATGTGCCTTTCGATCTGCAGTTCGATATGCATTTCAATATTTTTCGAGTTGCACGTCGATTGCATTTGTTGCCAACTGTATTGGTGTTTCGGTGTTCATTTCCATCCGCAAGATGGCCAATAGAGGCGCCACGAACTGGGGCAAACCAGACGCAGCGATTTTGCTTCGATGCGCTGGATATCTGGGCAAGGCGGCGAGCGGTGGCGGCGGGGCTTGATGGCGACCGCGGCGGTGTCTTCCACGGGCAGGCGCTTCCCTAGAGAGGCTTTCCCTCGGAGGATCCGGGGGGGACATCCGAGGAGGGCCGAGGGATCGAGGAGGGTCGAGGATCGAGGAGGGTCGAGGATCCAGGATCGAGGGGGGGGGGGTCGAGGAGGGCCGATCCCAGACCCCCGACGTCGTGATCTTTTCGCAACCTCGGCCCCCAGAGCTGTGGATTCCCTCCCGCGGACTGGCTTTTCAGCCCGAGCCCTTTCTGGACGGTCCCGAGGCCCGGGCAGGTCCCCCGGAGGCCGAAGGCAACGACAAACCTCCCGCCGTGGTTTTTCGGCACAGCGCGAGGAGGTTTGTGATGGCGGCGAGCTTCGAGCAGCGAGCGGCGGGCGAGCGGCGTGGGCGCCCGCCGCCCCCCGCGCGCGCGCTGCCCGCGCGAGGCGGTCGCCTTCGGCCTCAAGGGCGGCTGGCCGAGGGTGGGGCCCGCCGCGGGGCCGGGCGGGGGTGCGGAGGAGCCCGCGGTGCGCTGCGTGCGGTGCGCGTCCTGGGAGGAGGCGCCGCGGCCGCCGCGGGGGTGGTGGCGGGAGGGAGGGCGGGGGGAAGGGGGGGGTGGAGGAGGGGGAGGAGGAGGAGGAGGAGGAGGAGGGGAAGGAGGAGGAGGGGGAGGAGGAGGAGGAGGAGGAGGAGGAGGAGGAGGAGGAGGAGGAGGACGAGGAGGAGGATGAGGAGGAGGACACGGCGTCCAACCGCCTTCGTTGAGGCTGAACGGCATGCAAGCGAATATTTTGCGAAATGTGGCGCATTCCGCGCAATTGCATGTAGATTTTCTGTCGCTCGATCATAGGGCCTGGAACCCCGAACGGGCGAGACGTTTGAGTATTCCCCAGGCGCCTTCTTCGGGCGGATCCCCACTGAATCTAGGTTTGGGCTCGTAAATGCCTGAGCACACCGAATGCTGAGCGCGGCTAGAAAGCCCCTTCCTTGAAGGCGTGCGTAGGGGAATGATTTGGCTGACAAGCTAGCCAAGCTGGTGGCGAAGAGGGATAGCTTGCCTCTGATCGACGCTGCCCGGTTTAAGAAGGCAGTGAATACGTAGAGTTTCGAATTTGGTGCCGTGATCCGCATTCTGGAGCTATGGCCCTCCGCCGGCGATATTTCTGGGAGTCTCAGCCGTATTACAAGGTCAACCTGCCGTCACCGAAGAGCGGGAGCAGCATGGCAAGGTCTGAGACGTAGATCGGTGTATCTATAGGTGTCTTTCCTGCAGCAGAATGTGGGACAAAGTGTTGGCCACGATCCAGTGTTTGACTGCGGCCTCATCTGTGCAAGATGTTATAACCAAGATCTTGGCGCTGGGGGGTTAATGGCAGCACGTGGTTGACTGCTACTATTGCCCCTGACAGTCCATGCTCAGGAGGCAAAAAAACACACAGACACAATTAATCGTCGACTCCCAGGAAAATATGGGAACATATGGGAAGTGGGGGGGAGTACGAACACCCAGAAAATATGGGAAAAGATGGGGAATCCTGGGATTTGTGTCTATTTACTTGTGTGTCCCAGGGCTCCTTTACATGTGTCGTTTTGCATGCCGTGTGGGCCTGGCTGCTAGTCGTTGAGGCCATTCGGCTGCGGCCTTCTCCATACCCCTCTCTTGGAGCAGCGGCCTACGGGAGCCGAAGCCTTGGGAGCGCTCCGAGGATGCGACGACGAGCGCCCGTTGCCGCGCTGTGCCCGCGAGATGTGCCGTGCGCGTGCCGTGCGTGAACTCATCGTGGATAACGGATAAAAGAACCCCTATCCCTGATAACACGATGAAGACGTAGCCTCAATGAGGTCCCCGTCTTCGCACCAGGGAGGATAAGTCTGGGCGTTTTGGTTCGATGCACCTGCAGAGAAGACCCCCTTTATCCCTAAGGTTCCCGACCCTCCTGATTTAGGTCCCCTCCCAAAGGGTTAGGGGTCCTTTTTTGGTCAATCATGAGTTCGCGAATGCGAGGTAACGTGCCGTGCCCTGAGATTCCGTGTCATTTGCAGGTGCTTTGTTTCGGGCCTGGAGGGTCGCGCGTATTTGCGTGTCTTCGGCGGCCGGCAGCCAGTCTCTGGAAACATTGTGTGGTGGACGTTGTTTGGTGCTTCGCGAGTTCCCCTCCCCAGAGAGCATAATAATAAAAATGAGAATACTAATCACAATAATAAGAATAGCATGAAGAAGAAAGAAACATAACAACGTGCCGTGCCCTGTCTGCGTGCAGTGCCGTGCCGTTTGGCGCGTGCCGTGCCCGCGGGCGCGTGCCGTGCCGTTTGGCGCGCGCCGTGCCGCTTGGCGCGTGCCGTGCTGAGTCCTCGGGCGTCCTGTGCCCTCACACCAGCGGCGAGCCCGGGACATCTCAGAGCAAGACGAAGCCAGGACGAATACAAAGTCGGGCGAAAATGAATCGACAATCCCTGATGGCCAGCCGTTCTGGAGGATGTCTCGGGCGACGCGGCGGCGGCGAGCCTCGGAGGGGAAGCGAGAGGGGCGGGCCTTCTCAGAGGGCTCGGAGGTCCCCCCTGGCTTCCGAGAAGGCTCCTATAGGCCTTCCCCGAGGGCACAGGGAGCACCCCTCCGAGGGCCGGAGCGGGCTCTCGAGAAGTCTCCCGCCGCCTTCCTGAGGATGCCTTCTCCGTCTCACTTCCCCCCCCTCGCTCGCCGCCGATCACGTGCAGCATTGCTGCTTGGGGCCCTTATGCCGCTGCGATTCTGTGCGCACCCTGGCACCTGTGAGTAGGCTCCAGCAGCAACAAACAATAGCCGCAGTGGGAGCAGCGCTGCCGCCGCCGCCGTGTCCTCCATCGCCGCCGGGTCCCGTCAGCCTGCCCTGGAGGGTAGGTGGCCGAGTCAATCGATATGCCCGATGGTCCGATGGTATTGCCTTTTCCTCTTCCTCTTTTCCTCTCTCTATTCTACCTTCTCTTCCTCGCGTCCGGTCTTCCCTCTTTCCCCTCTTCCTCTCTCTTATCCTCTTCCCCCTTCTCTTCTCCCCTTCCGCTCCTCACCTCTTCGCCTCCGCCTGTTCTCCTGTCTTCCCCTCCATTCTCTCTCCCTTCCTGCCCCTTCCCCTCTCCTCCTCCGCCTCCATCGCCTCCCCGCTTGGAGTTCCAGGGCCCGTGCAGGGCGGAAAGCAGCCCCGCAGAGACGCACGTGGACCAGGAAGCTCACGCACTCTTTCTCCTGCGGGCGTCTTGCCCCTCCCGACCCGGTCCTGCCCCCCCCCCTTCTGGAGGTGAAGCGGGGCATGCAGGCCCAGGGCAGGGAGTACGTGCCCCCCTTCGCCCTGGGCCTCTACCTGCTGGAGGCGGAGGGCGGCGGTCCCGCCAAGAGCTTCCTCCACATTGCCGGCGCCTCGTCGCCGCGCGCGCCCTCGCGCGCCTCGTCGCCGCGCGCGCGCCAGCGGCGGCGATGGCGGCGGCGATGGCGATTTTTGCGGGCCTGGAACACGGCCCTGTCCCCAATTTTTCTGGGGGTGGACAGAACCCCCAACAGTGACACGTCGATTAGTGAATTGTCCGTTTTCGGTTCTCGAGAGGGCGCCGTGGCCGTTATTTTCCAGGCTTGCGCCCGCCAGGTTTGGGCCTCAGGTCGTTTTCTCTAAACCACGTTTTACTAAGGGGGGGTCTGTCCATCCCCGAGCTTTCGCTTGCGAGCGACGGGGGGAAGTGAGAAGGAGAGGGCCCTCCCAGGAGGCGGCGGGGCTTCCCGGGAGGCCTCGCGCCTTCTGAGATGTGTTCTGTGTCTTCGGGGAAGGCTCATAACACTTCTCAGAGGGCCCAGGGACTTCGGGCCTTCTGAGCAGGCCCGCCCCTTCTCGCTTCCACCCCGGGCTCGCCGCCGATGCTTGGCATCGCTTCATCTTGATGCCGATCTCAAGGATTTCCTTCGGTTTCCAAGCAGCAAGAACCACATGGCGCATCCAGCTTGCTGATCCCAGACGTCCGGCTTCTCGATTCTTTCGGAATTGGGCTTCCCCGGGATGTTTTATCCTGAGTCGATGTTTGACGGTCCCGTGGCCCAGTAAGGGCTTGGAGAGGCCGAAAACTATGAAGTTTTTGAGAGACCTTTGAGAGCAGGCCAGAATACCGGGTTAGCCCTTTATGTTTGGCGCCTGTTTGATGAGCCTGGCCAATGCCTGGAACGAGGCAGGGAGGAGGGAGAGGATGAGGAGAAGGGAGAGGACGAGGAGGAGGAGGGAGAGGACGAGGAGGAGGAGGGAGGAGGGAGAGGACGAGGACGAGGGAGGAGGGACGACTCTTGCGCGACGCTGGACGCCTGGGCCTCCCTTGGCACCGCAGTGGTGCGCACCGCGGGGGGCCGGCGACCCCCTCCCCGTCCGGGAGCCTGGCCGCCAGCCGCGGGGGGGGGGGGCGGCGCCGGCGGCGGCCCCTTGCGGCGGCGCCCCGCCGCCCCCCCTCCTCCTTCTTCTTCTTCTTCTTCTTCTTCTCTTCGCCCTAAGTAGGACGCTGGACCCAGCGCTTCGGGCAGAAGCGGGTGGAAGAACACAGCCCAAGTGGGGGCCCCAAGTAGGGGTGTCCGGCAGTGGGGCAGGTGCCCCCGCACGTGCCCTGTCCATGGGGGGCCCGTCGCGCAAGTTGGCGACACTGTTGGGGGCCCCCATGGAACCCGTGCCTGCCGTGTCGCCTCCTCGATGTCCCGGAAGGTGCCCTGGAACAGCGTCGCCGCCACCCTCCACCTCCCACAATACCTGCCTGGGCGTAACCCATCTCGCCTGCCACATACCCCGCATGGACAACCGTGCGCACTCGCACCCGCACGCGCACCAACCACACGACACACACAAACACACACGCACGCACGTGCCGAGCATCAGACCAGGGACACGCACACACACTTTACGAAACCCCAGCGCAGAGGCGACTCCAGCGCGAGTAAAGCAGCGGGACGCACACGCACACACACAACCACAAACACACAGGCAGGACGACAGTTTTGCGTGGATACCGACCACCCACGGTGTCACGAATCGGAGCCACGCCCAAAACGGGCCAGCACGGACTCCAGCGCGGACACCAGCAGCACCAACTCGCAATACCCTGGTTGCCCGGGCATCAAGCGCAGCAGGGAGGACAGAACTTCCTGTGACGGAGCCGGCGGCAGAGGCCAGCCCAGGGCGGCCACCAGCGCGGCCCGCTGATCGGCAAGTGCAGGACAAAGGAGAACTGCATGCGCGACTCCGCGACCCCAGCAGCAACGAACTGCCCGCAGATTGCACAGGTTTGCACTCGTGCCCGGGAGCGGCGGCCGCCAACGTGTCCAACCCGCAAGTAGCCAGCGCGGGCCTGGGCCACGGAGCGCTGCCCCAATAACACGGCCCACGGGAGGGCTCTAGTGGCGGCACCCCGGAGAGGACAGCTACCAGCTGGAAACGACTCAGTGTGGGGGACCGGGTCCACGTGGCGCACGGCAGCAGAGGCCCATTCCGCGCGGCAGCGCGCGGCCAGCACGGATTTGCATTGGGCAATGTAATCGTCCAGCTGGGCACCTGGAACTGCCCACTGCGGCCAGTCGGGCACCCCGTACACCCGGAGTAAATCGCTGCTCCGCACTGCCCAACACTGAGCACCGCCCGCCGCGCCGCGCAAGAATGCGCACCGATAGAAATCGTTTTCCGGCAGGAGGTGGAGCCGGGCCCGCCTGCGACACAGATCCAGGACGGCTTGTGCGCCGCCACCGAGGGACAGCCCCATCTCCAGCGCTGCCACACCAGAGTTCCTCCACGACGCGCCCCCCAGGAAGGCCTCTGCCCACCTCTCGTAGGCCTCGTCAAGCGCGTGGAGAGCACCAGGAGCAATGCACCACAGCCAGCGCGAGAAGCACAACGTGCTGTCCACCTTGGCGTGGAAGGCCTCTAGGGCAACGGACAGGGGGAACTGCCCAAGTACGATGAGCCCAACCACCGACGTACACGCCGCCTCGGCGAGCGCCAACCTACTCTGCAGCATCGGCTCGAAGTCTAAGTGAGGCCGCCACAGCAGGCCCAGCTGGGACGCAAATGACAGAGACACGCCGAGGGGGTGACCAAGGCGTGGGAGCACGAGCGGAGCACCAGCCCGTGCCGCACGCTGGGCAGCAGCACTGCCCGCCACGAGCACGACTGACTTGCGCGGCCCGGCGTGCAGTTCAGCTCGGTGTGTTAAGCACCACCAGGCCACAAGACGCAATACCTCCTCCGCCGCCCCTCTGCTAGAGGCCACGAATACAGGATCGTCGCAGTGGATCGGACCGGGCGAAAGGGGGGGATTGGGAAAGGGGGGGTTACGAGATTTGCTGCATGCAGCTGATTTCGGCCTCACCGAGGGGCCCATTCCTCGATACATGGGCGCGCCGGGAAAATCAGCTACGTGAGCTGATTCTCAAACCCCCCCTTTGCTATCCCCCCCTTTTGCCCGACCCGAGTGGAGCAGCGCCTGCAGACGACCGCGGTCGTGAAGGTCCAGGGCGCGCAAGGCAGAGGCCTCCAGGTCTGGGGAAATCGCCAGCGTGTCAGCGGAAGGCAGCGAGCTGGGACACTCCAGGAGAGGCACGAGCATGTCCACCAAGTGAGTGCGCGGAGTGCCACAACCTAGCCACACGTGCTGCTGCCAAGGGACGGGGGCCCAGGTGCTCGTGGCCGCGCCACAACCCGCAGAGTGCAGCAGACGCATTAGACTGACTGTCTGGGAGAAATTGCAGCCGAGGGGCCCGAGGACGCCGCCCTCGGGCACTCCTTCGTGTACATCCACCGTGCTCAGGCCGCTCAGGGTGACGACCACTTGATCCCGCTCGAGGATCGAGCCAAGAAGCGCCAGCGAGCCTGCCTGGACCCCCCCAGCATCGCGCAGCAGGCATAACAGCAGGCTGCGCCACGTGCGTGGAAAGACATGCACAAAGTCACCATGCACTAACCAGGTGGGCAGCCCAGCAGCACTCCGCGACGCCACCACATCATGAAGAACAAGATGAGCATCTCCACATTCACGCACGTAACCACCCTGGCCGTCTAGCAAGGACCGCCGGAGCGGCACGCGGAGCCGCTCGAAGAGGAGCCCCTCCTGGAGGAGCCCATGCTGGCACATGATGCACAGCAGCCGGAAGCTAGACGAGGCATTCCAGGGACCCCGTCTGTACGCCGCCCCCAGCACCCGCGCGCGCCACAGGCGCGGCCGAAGGGCCAGCGCCCCCGGCCCCATAAGAAGCTGCAGCGCCCAAACAGTGTCGTCCCACACTTGGAGGTTAAGCTGAAAAACCACACGCGGTAGCAGGTCAGGCGTGGTGGCCGAGGAGGAATCCCAGTTGCCCACGACGCGGAACACCTCCTGCTGCACGATGGGCGCGTCGGCCCACCCACGGCCAATTGAGGCGCGAGCGTCACGCAGCAGACGCCTGCAATAATCGCTCGCCCGGGCGGCGGCATCCGGAGGACAGGGCTGGCTAGGGACGCTTTGCTGGACGAGCTGCCGGCGCCAGGCCTCGTGTGATTCAGCGCGGGATAAAACCACGGAGTCCACGACCAGGAACGGCAGCCAAGGGGCCCACGGCAGCGAGGCGATTGTGGGCAGCACGCGCCTCGCACCGTGGTAGAACCCACCCGTCTCTAGCCAGGCCCTCCAGAACTCCCAGCAGGACCGCGAAGCAGTCCCCAACCCATTGGGGCACGAAGGCTGATGGCCGAGACGAACTTGCAGAGCCCCAGCAGGAGGCAAAGTGCTTCGCAAGTTCCCCCAGCCGCGCGAGCGGGGTAGACACCGCTGTGATGCCTGCCCTCCAACCTTCTCCATCCAACCATGCCGGAGGCATGCGTAGAGCCGCAGGGCCCATGGGCTGCGGACAGATGCACCCGAGGTCCGCCTCCAGCAGGAAGTGGTCACCCAGGCAAAAGTCAGCGCAATCAGGCCACCGGCATGGACTGCAGTTTAGACTGTTGTGCACGACAAGCTGGCCGAAAGCCCAGGAGATGCAGGGACAAGATCGATGGCCCGACTCTGCCAAGCACCATGGTGCGTGTCACCTGGACGGACCTCACCTATACGCGACGCCGACGAGGCAACGTAATATCGCGAGGGATGGAACCGAGCAAGGATGGGTTGCACACCACGAGGCCCGTCTCCACCAAGAGCTCCGCCCACCGCACATCCCGACCTGAGGAGATGTCGCGACCGCCGCCAAGAGGCACCGGCTGCACATTGGCGTCCCCCATCGCCACGAACATCGCATCGGAGTGCTGCGCGCGCAGGCTGTTTACCTCCCGCCGAATGCTGTCCACCTCGGAACCCCACGCCCCATCATCACCTGAACGTGGGCCAGGCGGAAGATAGAAGTACAGCAAGAAAAGCAGCCCCTCAGCCAAACGTAGCTGCACCCACACGCGACGTGCAGACCCAACCCCCATCACGAAATCGAAGTGCGCCTGGAACTCTAAGGACCACACGACCGCCACACTGGCGTACGAAATACCACCGACCGCGTCGATGCCCAATCCCGAGGAGGCAGGAAGTGTGAAAGATTCCGGCAGGCGGGCACCAGGAAGCCCCGCGATCGGGATGCCCAGCTGATTCATGGCGCGCTGGACCGACGTGGGGTGCTCTGGGAGGCGTCGCCACAGCACTCTCCGGCCGTGCCGGTCCATGCACCCAGTGGGGCCAGGGTAGCCCAGTCCCACCCGCAGCCGCTGGGGAGGATGCGGGACGGCAGAGGCAGTTGGGGGGGGAGGACGAGCCAGGCAGCCATGAGCCAGCTGCAGGCTTTTCACGAGTGCGAGCCTGAGCTCGTCCGCCCCTGCGGGTGCCAGGGGCGGGAAGGAGATATCCCTGTGGCGGGTTTCCAGCAGACGGGCCCCTTCTCGTATGAGACGCATCCACAAGTCGCGACTGAGCGTCAGGGCGTCCGCGGGCACGCGATGCAACCGGCCTGCCACGCGGGGGAGGTCCGCAGCTTCACTCCATTGCTCCAGCAGGACGGACAGCGCCATGAGCAAGAGCGAAACCGCAACAAGATGCTTGGACCTGTGCAACGACTGCGGGTGCACCTCCCTCCCCAGTGCGGGGAGCAATCCGCAAGTGCGGACAACACCAAGTGGCGGGAGAGCAGCAGCAGCAGCAGCGGGCAGCAAAGCGGGGGGGAGAGCGCGACAACCATGCGACGCTGGTCACCAAGGCGAGCAGGGGCAGCGAGAAGGCAGGCGGGAGGCGTGCGTAGGTCCGAAGAGCCCCGTCATGCACGCCACAGCGACGGTCGTAGGCTTCCCACGTGCAAGACCCCAAGCTTAGCCGAACCCACGCGTGGACCCAGAAACAGTGCAACAGGGCACCCGGTGCAAGCACTGCATCAGGGATAATCGCACCAGCCAGGGCCAGGCCAGGAAAAAGGGGGCCACATTTGGTGGCGAGAGATCGGCTTTCGGTACAAGCACATCGGAAAAACAGTGCGCCCTGGTTAGTTCGGTCGACAGCAGGTCGTGGGGCAGCGATCGCAGCAACAGGCGTTTATATACCGGGAGCACCAGCCTGACCGAACAATTCAAAGGCACCTCTTGCAGGCCAGGTCTGAGAGAGACGGGTCACGATAGCGTCAGCGGGTCGAGGCAAGGTACACCGAATCCAACAGAGTTCGTGATTGAGGTTCCCACCCAGGTAACGAGGAGTGCCAACCTCCCACAACGGACGAAGGACAGGGGAAGGGCGAGAGGGGCGGGGGCAGAGCAAGGACGGGGGAGGCGGAGGAGGGGAGAGGAGGACGACAGCGGGGACCCAAAACAGGCCACCATGGCACCAGGTGCAAGCATTGCAGTAGGGAAAATCGTACAGGCGGACAGATCCAGCCCCCCACCAAGGTCACGGAGACAGTGCATCGGGAGACCGGGCAACACCGAGCAATGCAGGCCCGTCCAAACCGTTACGCTACGGCAACCCAGGGTGAACGCCGAGGGCAGCGGAAAGAGCGGCCCGGGCCGCCAGGCCCCCCCCCGACGCCACGGCCGGACGCAGCCCCGAAAATTGGACGGAACGGACGCCGGGACCAGGGAGCAGCCGACGCGCTCCGCCAAAGTCAACCACAGAATGTTGGTATGCCCGTGTGCACTGCGACTGGCTATCCCAACGTGCAACATAGGAGGAGGGGGGAGGACAACGACGACGACGACAAGCAGAGGAGAGGCAGGGGAGGAGGACCACGAGCCCAAACGGCTACGGACCACGCCAAGTGGCGGGCGCAAGTGCGCAGGCAGGCCTCGCCAATGCGGAACCCGCAAGCGCGGGCAAGGAGAGGGAGGAGGAGGAGGAGGAGAGGAGGAGGAGGAGGAGGAGGAGGAGGAGGAGAGGAGGAAGGAGGAGGAGGAGGAGGAGGAGGAGGAGGAGGCGGAGGAGGAGGAGGAGGAGGAGGAGGAGGAGAGGAGGCTGGAGGAGGAGGTAGGAGGAGGAGGGAGGAGGAGGAGGAGGGAGGAGGAGGAGGAGGAGGAGGAGAGGAGGAGGAGGAGGAGGAGGAGGAGGAGGAGGAGGAGGAGGAGGAGGGAGGAGGAGGAGGAGGAGGAGGAGGAGGAGGAGGAGGAGGAGGAGGATGGAGGAGGGAGGAGGAGGAGGAGGCGGAGGAGGAGGAGGAGGAGGAGGAGGAGGAGGAGGAGGAGGAGGAGGAGGAGGAAGGAGGAGGAGGAGGAGGAGGAGGAGGAGGAGGAGGAGGAGGAGGAGGAGGAGGAGGAGGAGGAGGAGGAGGAGGAGGAGGAGGAGTAAGAGGGAGACCACCGCCAATGCGGGGCCCGCCAGTGCGGGCAGAGGAGGAGGGCGCCGCCCTCAGCCGGGCGACCCGTGCCGCATGCCCGCGCGCCAGGTACAGTACGGCACTTGGCCCCGCCATCCACGACCATGCCGTCTGAGCCGGAAGCGCCGCGACCCCCAGCAGCGCTGCAGCCCAGGCGGCCGCACGCCAGCTCTGCGCGAGGCCCAGCAGGCGCAGCAGTATGAGGTTCCCGCACTGCGACTGTCGTGCACTGGAAGCCCAAGACTGGCCCCAGCCTGGCCAGCACGCACAGGCCCCGCGGCGGCTGGGCGCCACGACTGCCGAGCGCCAAGGGCGCCAGCTATGCCACCCGCCAGCAGCACCGCGGACGCAGGGAGCAGCGGCACCACACCGCAGAAGGCCCACGACCGGGAGCCCATGAAGACGATGCAGTTGACGCGGTGCCCACACCCCCCGCTCGGCAGGAGGTGCGCCTCGCCACTAGACGTCCAGCCCGCAATGCCACCACTGTTCCACAACAGCCGCCCGCAGCACGGCCGCCCCAGAGACAAGAGACGACAGGAGAAGCGCCGCGCACCGTCACGGCACGCTGGCAACGGACATCCCGCGGCCGAGGGGAGCCGCAAACGACGACGACGACAGGGGGGACGACCCCAACCTGCTTGAGCTCCAACCTTGAGCCAAAATGGCTTGAGCCAAAATGGCTTGAGCCAAAATGGCTTGAGCCCACCGCACGGGCCCGACCTGGTCCTCCCACTCCTCGCGGTGCTTGGGCTGGGGCATGCCGACTGCCTCCTCGAGCGCCTCGATGAGGTTGGCCGCTCGATCCACTGGCCCACCCTGCCCGACGCCAGCAGCTCAGTGTCCCCTCCCTGCGGCTTTCGAGCTTGTTGCTTTTGCCGCTGCTGCTGCTGCTGCTGCTGCTGCTGGTGCAGCGCCGCATGCTGCTGCTGCGCTTGCATCGCCTGCTCCTCCACGCGCTGCTTCTCCTCTCGGCGGGCTTCTTCGTTTGCCCTTTCTGCGATGAGGTCATCCAACAGCTGCTTGATCTCCTTCTCGGCCCCGACCGAGGCTTCCGCCGTTTGCTGGATGTCGTTGCGCTTCCTTCCAGCTGGACAACCTCCTGGTCCAGGCTCTTGATCTGCGCGGAGAGCGCCTGCGACGTGGCCTGCTGAGTCCGCTGCCTCTTCTCGGGCTCCCTCAGCTGATGGAACGGCGGCCGCTCCTGGTCGATCTGGGCACCCAGGTGCTTCGACACTTCTCTCTTGAGCTCCAGCACTTCCCCAGCTCCCGAAACACCCTCCAGCTGTCGAGCCTGCTCCTTCTCTCGTGGTGCTGCGCGCCCTTGTCTTCCCCTGTTGCCGCCGCCCTGGGTGACGACCTTCTCGCCCTCCGGGCGCTCGATGTTGTACCCGTAGCGGAGTGAGCTCGTGCTTCTTCTTTGACGCACAGGCTGGACGTGCCACTCCTCCGCGAACCCCCAGCAGTGTGAGGTGCAGCTTCCCCGCCCCCTGAAGAAACCGCCACACTCCCTGCGCGTGCTTCGAGTGCCCCAGCCCCTCTCGGCACCGCATGTTGAGCAGTTCCAGCCCTGGCCCCCGCCATGCTTGGACTATTGCCCTTTGCCGCCTCCACCTGTTTGTCGCCCCATTGGTCGAGCACGCGACCCCGCCCGGGCTCCCGAATGCTGACTCGCCCCAGTGCGAGGTACGCTGTGTGGTCTGGCTGACTTCTGGAGCGCGAAAGATCAGTAGCAAACTTGAGCGACTTGCAGACGTCGGCTGTTGCATCATCTTGAGGCACACTGACTACTGATGATGATGATGCTGATGATGATGATGATGATGATGATGATGATGGTGCTGATAATGATGATGACGATGACGATGGCGATGATGATGGTGCTGAGGATGATGATTCGGATCGTGATGATCATGGTGATGATGATATCGATGATGATGATGCTGATGATGATGATGATGATGATGATGACGATGATGATCATATCATGACCATCATGATGCTGATCATACGGTTGATGACGATGATGATGATGATGATGATGATGATGATGATGATGATGATGATGCTGATGATGATGATGAGGATGATGATGATGCTGATGATGATGTCGCTGATGCCTATGCTGCTGATGATGACGATGACGATGAGGATGACGATGGTGCTTCTGAGGACGGTGGCCCTGATTCTGAAGATGTGGATGATGGCGATGATGATGATGATGATGATGATGATGCTGATGATGCTGATGATGCTGATGATGATGATGATGGTGTTGGTGATGATGATGATGCTGCTGATGATGATGATCATGCTGATGATGATGCTGATGATGCCGATGACGTTGATGATGATGCTTATGATGATTATTATGATGATCCTGATGATGAGGCGTATGATGATAATGATGCTGATGTTGACGATGCTGATGATGCTGCTCATAGAATCGGTTGTTGTGGTGGTGGGGACGATGATGATGATGACGATGAGGGTAGTGGTGATGTTGATCAGGCTGAGGCTGATGGCAGTGATGATGATGCTGATAATGATGTTGATGATGGTGATGCTGCTGTTTTGGCTGATGATGATGGTGATGGTGATGGTGATGATACTGATGACGATGACGATGATGACGCTGATGCGGACAATGATGGCGGTAGTGGTGACGATGGTGATGTGGATGATGATGACGACGACGATGCTGATGATGATGATGATGATGCTGATGTTGATGATGATGGTGCTGATGATGTCGATGACGATGCTCATGATGATAGTGATGATGCTGCTGCTGATGATGATGCTGATTCTGTTACTGCTGATGATGATGACCAGGACGACAACGAAAGCGTGGCTGGTGAACATGATGACGATGCTCTTGCTGCTGCTGATGATGGTGATGATGATGATGATGATGATGATGATGATGATGACGCTGCTGATCATGGTGATGCCGACGTCGATGCTGGTTTTGCGGCTGCTGATGATGCTGATGATGCTGCTGATGATTATGTTGATGATGATGTTGATGATGATGATGATGATGATGATGATGATGATGAGGAGGAGGAGGAGGAGGAGGAGGATGAGGAAGAGCAGGAGGAGGGAGAGGAGGAGGAGGAGGAGTAGGAGGAGGAGGAGGAGGGGAGGAGAAGAGGAGGAAGAGGAGGAGGAGGAGGAGGAGGAGGAGGAGGACGAGCGATTAGGAGGACGAGGAGAATTGAGGAAGGAGGCTGCGGAGGAGGCTGAGGAGGAGGAGGAGGAAGAGGACGAGGAGGATGGGGACGACGAGGAGGAGAGTTCGGAGGAACATTCGGAGACGGAGGAGGAGAAGGAGGACAAGAGGAGGACAAGTTGGCGGAGGAGACTTCTGATAGCAATGACAAGAACACAAGCAGGCAGAGGACACGCACGAGGGGGAGGAGGGGGATGCGTCCCAGGTCTGCACGCACGCCTTCTCGGACGGCTTCACCTGCTTCCCGCTGATCGCCGACCTCGCCGAGCTGTACGAGGCCGAGGTGGCGGCGCTGGCGGGGGAGCGGTGCGACCCGGCGCCGCCGCTGCCGTGCGCGTTCGGGGCGCCAGGCTGTATCAATGATGATGAGGATGAGGAGGGTGAGGAGGAGGAGGAGGCGGAGGAGGTGGAGGAGGAGGAGGAAAGGAGGAGGAGGTATAAGAGTGATGGGGGAGGAGGCTGAGGAGTACGGGGGGCGTATGGGTTGGATGCGGAGATGGAGGGTGGATGGAGGGGAGGGGGAATAAGGAGGACGGTGCGGAGAGGACGAGGAGAAGGTTGTGGGGCAGTAGGGGAGCGTCCGAGGTACGAGCACAACATTGCAACACTATGGAGCCCGACCCCCGCACACCGACCAAGCCTCCGCAGGAGGCTCATACGTAATGCCGATCGACGGGAGAGCATCTGGTGAGGAGGGTGAGGATGAGGAAGGGAGGGCAAGGGAAGGCGGATGAGGCGGACGAGCGCGATGGGAGGGAGGGGAGCGGGATGATGATGCTGTTGCTGCTGCTAACGGCGATGACAGCGCGATGATGATTCTGGTGGCGATGATGGTGATGATGGCATTCATCATGATGATGGTGGTGGTGATGATGCTGCTGATGTTGATGATAAGGCGGGTCAAGCTGATGGTGATAATAATGGTGGCGGTGGTGATGATGCTGATGACGATGATGATGGTGGTGGCGATGAGTTCGCTAATACTGATTATGTTGATGATGAGGGGGAGGATAATCATGATGATTACGTATGATGCTGATGTTGATGCTGCTGATGATGATGACGGCATTGGTGATGCTTATGTTGACGATGGTGATAAAGAGGGCGATGAAGATGATGATGGTAATGATGGCGATGCTGCTGCTGATGCTGTTGACGATGATGATGATTGTGATGATGATGCTGCTGATGCTGATGACGATGATGACGATGATGCTGATGATGCTGATGAGGATGACGATGCTGATGATGATGAGGATGATAATGGCGATGACGACTATGATAATATCGATGATGCTGCAGAGTATCATTCTACTGCACATGATAATGATGACGATGACGCTGCCGATGATGATGCTGATGATGCTGACGATGATACTGATGCTGCTGATGATGACCATGATGACAATGACGATGATGCTGATGATGATGATGATGATGATGATGATGATGATGATGGCGATGATGACGATGTTGATGATGGTGATGCTGACGATGCTGAGGTTCTTGACGGCGATGACTCTGATGATGATGGTGGTGCTGCTGCTGATGATGCTGATTATGCCGATGATGATACGGCTGTTGTCGGTGCCGATGATTATGTTGCTTATGATGATGCTGATGCTGATGATATTGATGATGACTATGATGGTGTTGCTGATGATAACTATGATGATGCTTATGCTGCTGCTGATGATGATACTTTTGATGCTGATGATGCTGATGATGACAATGATGAGGGTGCTGCTGATGGTGGTGGTGGTGATGATGACGATGGTATTGTTGGTGACGGTGGTGGTGCTGGTGATGGTAATGGTGGTGTTATTGATGGTGGTGACGACGATTCTGATGATGCTGATGATGATGCTGATGATGATGCTGATGATGATGACGATGCTGCTGCTGATGATGATGCTAATGATGATGATGCTGATGATGCTGATGATGCGGATGCTGATGATGATGAGGCTGATGGTGAGGATTATGATGATCAGGATGCTGACGATGCTGCCGTTGAGGATGCTGCTGCTGATGGTGATGCTGATGATGCTGATGAGGATGATGATACTGATGATGATGATGCTGATGATGACGATGATGATGATGATGATGATGAGGGTGCTGCTGATGGTGGTGGTGGTGATGATGACGATGGTATTGCGGGTGACGGTGGTGGTGCTGGTGATGGTAATGTTGATGTTATTGATGGTGGTGACGACGAGTATGCTGATGCTGATGATGATGCTGGTGATGATGACGATGCTGCTGATGATGATGCTGATGCTGATGCTGATGATGCGGATACTGATGATGATGAGGCTGATGGTGAGGAGTATGATGATCAGGATGCTGACGATGCTGCCTCTGAGGCTGCTGCTGCTGATGATGCTGCTGATGATGCTAATGATGATGCTGGTGATGATGCTGATGATGATGATGATGAAGATGAAGATGAAGATGCTGATGCTGATGCTGATGCTGATGCTGATGCTGCTGATGATGATGATGATGATGATGCTATGATGATGCTGATGATGATGATGATGCTGGTAATAATGATGATGCTGATGATGCTGCTGCTGCTGATGATGATGATGCTGATGCTGATGATGATGATGATGAGATGATGATGATGATGATGATGATGAGATGCTGCTGCTGACGATGGTGATGGTGATGGTGATGGTGATGGTGATGGTGATGACTATGATGCGGATGTTGATGGTTCTGCAGGAGGTGGAGGGAGATGTCAACGACGAGGGCGAGGAGTAGGAGGAGCAAAAAGAGGAGGGGGAGGAGAAGCAGGAGGATGAGCAGGTGGAGGAGGAGGTCCAGGACTAGCAGGAGGAGGAGAAGGAGGACAGGAGAGGAGAAGGAGGAGGAGGAGGAGGAGAGGAGGAGGAGGGAGGAGCGAGGAGGAGGTGGAGGTGGAGGAGGAGTGAGGGGAGGAGGATAGGAGGAGGAGTGGAGGAGAGGGGGGGGAGGGGGATAGGCGGGGAGGAGGAGGAGGAGGAGGTGGAGGAGGAGGAGGAGGAAGAGGAGGAGGGGGCGGCAGAAGGAGGAGGAGGAGCAGCTAGGGAAATATGATATATAGCTAGGAGGAGAAGGGGATCAGGAGGAGCAGGAGGGGAGGAGGGAGGAGGAGGAGGAGGAAGGCGGAGGATGAGGAGGAGGAGAGGGAGGAGGAGGAGGAGAAGGCGGAGAGGAGGAGGAGGAGGAGGAGGAGGAGGAGGAGGACCAGTGTAAACCGAATAATCGTCAACAGAGCTAGAGTAAAACCTTCCCCAACGCTCCCTCTTCACGGGCCCATGCAAGGTGTCCAAGTCCACTGAGGGGATTGCCCCGTTAGGAGACAACCGTTTGAAGGTCCTGATGCTTGGCCGAACACCGATCTCGGGACTCCAACGCCGTGAATCAACCTGATTGTCGCGTATTGACGATCCCGAATCTTCTCTGAACACCATTCCTGGGACTTCAGCACCGCACATCACCGTAAGTGTGACGCCCTGACAGTCCTGAATCGTTCCCACACGCCGTCTCTGGTGCGTTAGCATCGGGAGCCCGTGATTTGTTTGTAAGTGTTTCGCACGAGTGTGCGCGGCGCTACGGTGAGAGCCACATGTTGGAAAGGAGCCGCCCTCAATTCGTGAAGCTCTTGCAGTTGTTTAAAACGAATGTGCGCGGCGCTCAGGCGAGAGCGACATTTTGAAAACGTCTATTTAAAACAAACAAGCAAGTGTGCGTGGCGCTAAGGCGAGAGCCCCACTTTGAAAACGATCCGCCCTCAATCCGTGAAGCTCTGGCAAGCTCTTGAAACGAGTCTGCGCGGCGCTACGGCAAGAGCCACAGGTGGAAAACGACTCGCCCTCAATCCGTGAAGCTCTGGGAGATGCTCTATACGAATGCGCGCGGTGCTGAGGCGAGAGCCACACGTTGAAAACCGCCCGCCCTCCACCCGCGAAGCTGCTGCCACGTTATGATAAGCGGAGGGAAGTCTCGGGGCGAAACGCCCGGCCCGCCTAAACCGGCGTCGGGGTGCGACGGGGAGACGTTGTCTAGAAGGAAAGGGGCTGGAGGGGGGAGAGGGGAGGAGAGGGGGGATGGGTGGACGGAGGTCGGAGCGGGGGAGGGGGTGGAAAGGGGGAGGGAGGAAGCGGAGGAGGAGTAGGAGGACGAGCAGGAGGAGGAGGAGGAGGAGCAGGAGGAGATGGCGGAGATGGCGGAGATGGGGGAGATGGAGGAAGCGGAGGAGGAGGAAGACGAGGAGGAAGAAGAGGAGGAGGAGGAGAATGGAAGGAGGAGAGAAGGAGATGGGGAGGAGGTGGAGGTCAGGACGGAATGAGGCGCTGGAAGAGGAGGACGATGAGGACGAAGGAAAGGTAAGGATGAGAACATGGAGGTGGAGGGGGGCGAGCACGAAGACAGGCAGGGGGAGGAGAAGGGGGAGGATGCCACCCAGGTGCTTGAGCGAAGGCTCTTCGAGGCCCTGGAGCTCCAGCCCTTCGCCGGCTCCTCGGCTGCCGCTGGCGCTGCTGCTCCTGCCGCTTCTGCGCCGTATTGCGATGCCCAGAGGCTGACGCTGATGGCCAGGACCGTTTGCGTAGCGTGTCGCATCGCCGGTGCTGGCTCACCACGCTTCGGCGCCACGCGCGAGGCACGCCCCAGTCCCCATGCGTCAGCGCTCCGAGCTCTTCCCGCCCCACCGGTGTTACGAAGCAGAGCGGCACGCCATATCAGCCTAGAAGGCCACGGCGTGCCGCAGGTGTCGCCATCGCGACACGCTGAGCAGCAGCTCCTCACCGTAGGCTTAAGTTGGGCCTGTCCCTCTACAGGAGGAGTATTCAAAAGTAGTACAACAGATAGTCTGGGGACGATTTTTGTGCCCCGACCTTGCGGAGGGGGTTCCCGTTTAGTGTTCCCTTGGGGGGTCTGGGGGGTACCCCCCCGGGACATGGCCCCGGCCACGCGACGAACGCCGGCAGAAGTCCGGCGGAAGACGGCGGAAGACGGCGGACGACGGTTTTCGGTCGAACAAGCGACCCCAAGATGGTCCGCAAGATGGGCCAAGCGGGCCACGAGCCGCCGACTGATCGGTCCAGACGGCCCAGGGAGTCCCCAAGACGGCCTGGAAGGCCTCCAATAGGCTCCCCAAGAGAGCCCCAAGCGTCCTAATTCTCTGGTTTTCCTTGGGTTTCAAAGGTTTTTCGCCTTCTCGCCTGTTCAACTTCCCGACGCTTTAAGACGGCCCAAGAGAATTCAAACATCGCCCCAAGACGGCCTCAGAGGCCCCCAAGAGAGTGCCCAGACAGTCCAAGACGCCCTCAAGACGGCCCAAGAGGCCTCCAAGACGGCCTCCGAAGGCCCCAGGAACGCTCCAAGAGGACCCCGAGAGGAAGGGCGGGGACCCATGTTTCGGGCTTTCCGCCCCGAGAGACCCCAGGAGACTCCAAAAGGCCCCCAGGAGGACCCCAGGATCGCGTCCAGACGGCCCAGAGAGCTCCCAGGACGCCTCGGAAGGCCTCCGAGAGGTCCTCCAAGAGAGCTCCAAGCGTCAACATTCATTGGTTTTCGATGGGTTTTCAAGGTTTTTCGGGTTCCCGCGTTCTCGGCTTCCCCGACGCTCCAAGACAGCCCAAGAGGTCCTACAGATCGCCCCAAGACGGTCTAAGAGGCAACCAAGAGAGCGCCCAAACAGTCCAATACGCCCCCAAGACGGCCCAAGAGGCCTCCAAGACGGCCTCCGAACGCCCCAGGAACGCCCCAAGAAGATCTCCAGAAGGGGGGGCAGCGACCGATATCCTAGGCTCTCCGCTTACAATAACCCCCAGGAGGCCCCCACGGCCCAGGGAGCCCCCAGGACGCCTCGGGAGGCTCCCGAGAGGCCTTCCAACAGGGCCCCAAGTGTCAGACTTCTTTGGTTTTTGTTAGGTTTTGAAGGTTTTTCGGGTTCTTGCGTTTTCGGTTTCCCGAGGCTCCAAGACAGCCCAAGAGGTCCCAAATATCGCCCCAAGACGGCCGTCGAGGCCCCCAAGAGAGCGTCCAGACATTCCAAGACGCCCTCAAGACGGCCCACAAGGCCTCCAAGACGGCCTCCGAAGGCCCCAGGAGCGCCCCAAGAAAACCTCCAAAGAGGGGGCAGGGACCGACATTTTAGGCTCTCCACTTTCCAAGACCCCCAGGAGGCCCCAACAGGCCCCCTGGAGGCCCCCAAGAGGTTTCCAAGAGGCCCCAGGAACCCTGGAAGATGCCTTCGGGAAGCCCCCACTGGCGTGCAAGGGGGCCCCAAGACTGCCCAAGAAGGCCCAAGGATAGGTGGAGACGCACCCACAAAGCGTGACACCGCCAAACGGACAACGCGGGAACCAACGTCAGGTGCTCACTAGGCGCGCTCCCCCTTGCCCAAGAGGGCTCCAGGATCGCCACAAATGCTTCATAACGTGAAAACGGGGAATACGGGAACCAACGCAATGAGCCTCATAGGCATCATCTTCTCTGCTGTGCTCTTTCTCGCACGTCACGGCCACTGTCCCCCCCCCAGTGGCGCGCATAGCAGGGTCCGAAAATTGCCCAACAGGGCTCCAGGATGGTCGTAGACGCCCCGACAAAGTGGCACAGCATCAAACGGACAACACGGGAACCTTCATAATGACCTTTAAATGCGGCACAGCGTCGCACGGACAACACGTGAATCAGCATTACGCGCCTTGTAGGCGTCCTCTTCATTTTTATCTCCCTCGCAAGTCACGCCCACTTGTCCTCCAAGGTCGGGGTTCGTGGCAATATCAGGTTCGTTTTTTTGGCAATTTTTGAGCATGTTTTTTTTTGGGGGGGGCTATTTTCAATTTTTCTTCGGTAGCCCCCTGTGGGGGGACGCGCCCGACCTAACCGTAGCCCTTGCACCACCGCTGAGAGGCTCAGGCGCTGACGTCGAAAAGCTCAGAGACTCGGCGGCGCGCCCGGGGCGGGGGGGGGGCGGAAGTGAGCGTGGGCGGGCCTCCTCCGGAGGCGGCGCGGGGGCTTCTCGGAAGCCCTCCCCCCCGGCCTTCCGAGAGGCCGTCTGCGTCTTCGGCGAAGGCTCCGAAGGCTTCTCCGAAGTCCAGGAGGCCTTCTGTCGCCGAGCGCGTTCCCCCACTCGCAAAGTGCCTGACCGCAAGCGTCCGAACAAAAAAGCACACGTCTTCTTCGATGCAATGTATCGTGAGTCCCCCGCGGCGGGTCCAGGCCATTTGCGAGTAGCCACTTTGCGAGTTGTGGGACGCGCCTGTCTATTCTGAGCCTTCCGAGAAGGCCCGCCCCCTCTGCCTTCCTCCCGGGTTTCGCCGCCGACGGACGCGGCGCGCAACGATCAGAGGCCGCCGCGCTCAGGCGCAGGCGCTGTCGTTCGGGGGCCCACGCGCAGAGGTTGGGTGCCAGCGGCTGGCGTGAAGTCCGGCAGGCTCCTCTACAGGAGGAGTATTCAAGAACCGTAAAAATGGTCCGGTGGCGATCTGTCGGGCTTTGTCAGACTGTGTTTGATTATTTGCTGGCAATTTTTGATTTTTTTCTTCGATGAACCGCCTGTGCGAGGACATGCCCGACCTGAGGCTAGAGGAAGCGAGCTGGGATCGCTCCTGCCGTTGCGCCTCCAGTCTCACCAGCGTGTTCTCGGCGATCGTCTCGATCTGGTTGTTATCGGCTCCGCTTTCTCCTCCCCCTCTCCCTCCCCCCCAGTCCCCTCTCCTTCCCTCCCCCTTTTCCCCCCCTCTTCCTCCCCCTCTTCCTCCCCCTCTTCCTCTCCCCTCGCCGCCCCAATCCTGGACAACCTCTTTTCCCCTGCTGCATGCATCCCCCGGTTTATGCTTCCGCCTCGTTCTCCCTCCCTGTCCTTCTCTTCGTCGTCGTCGTCGTCGTCATCTTCATCGTCATCGTGTCTGTGTCGTCGTCGTCCTCCTCCTTGCTCCTTGCCCTCCTCCTCGTCCGCCTCGCCCGGCTTCTCGACCAGCACCCTCGCGTTCCCGGGTCCTGCTCCCCCTCCCTCGCTCCTCCTCCCCCTTCTTCCCCTTTTTGGCTCTTCTGCTTCCTTCTCCCCCCCGCTCCTCCTCCTCCTCCTCCTCCTCCTCCTCCTCCTCCTCCTCCTCCTCCTCCTCTCCTCTGTAAAACATGTCGTACCCCCTCCTCGCTCATCCTCCTCTTCCTCCTCCTCCTCCCCCTCCTCCTCCATTCTTTTATGCACAGCTCCTCACTGTTGCACCCCCAGGCGTGGGGCGGCCCCGGCATTCCGCTTCGGTTTTCACTAATTATGGTCCTGAAGCTGACATTTGGAACAGTTTCATGGACGGGGGGCTGGAGTTTTCAAGATGTGGTTCTTGCCGTAGTGCCGCGCACATGTGTCTTGAAAGCTTGCAACAGTTTCACGGATGGAAGTCGGGTGGTTTTGAAATTGTGGTTCTCGCCTCAGTGCCGCGCACATTCATTTTGAATATTTGCAGCAGTTTTAGGGATGGAGGGGGTCGTTTTCAAATTGTGGCTCTCGCCTTAGCGCCGCGCACATTCATCTGAACATGTTCACGGATGGCAGGGCGTGGCTTTCAGATCGCGGTTCTCGCTTTAGCGCAGCGTTCATACGTGATGTTCACGGATGGCAGGGCGGGGTGGTTTTCAAAATGTGGCTCTCAATCTAGCGTTGCGTGGGGCTCTCGCAGTCGCGCCGCGCGACTTCGTTTGATAGCGCAACGCGTGTCACGAGGGGGGCGTTCTTTTTCAAAATGGAGTTCTCGCTTGATCCATGTCGGCTCTTTTTCAAAACGGTGTTGTCGTTTGACATTTCTTCGAAATTCATGTCGGGATTCGTGCAACACTTACACAGGTGGGGGGCGGTCCTTCTTTGACGGGGATATTGCTGGACATCTCGTTGCATTGTATGATCATGGTGCTTCTTCGCGTTCCTGACTACGCATCGGCAAGGTGCAAGGCTGTTCCCGCTCAACGTGGGGCCCTCGCAAACACGGCAGGCCCACCTGTGCTGGCTCTTCACGGAGGGCGCTTCTTGTAGTCGAAAGGAGGACTTCTAGAGGCGTGTGAGGGGGGGTACTTGGGACGGGAGAGTGTATGGCAGCATGGTTTATGTCTCTTTGGTTTATTCCGGCTCTGCTCCTTCTCCTCCTCTTTCTCCTCCACCTTCCCTCCGTTTTTTTTATCTACCCTTTTGACCCCTCCTCCTGCCTGCCCCTCTCCTCGCCTCCCCCTCCCCCCCCGCGCCTCCCCCACCCCCACGCCGCCTCCCCGCCGGCTTGCCTGGGGACCTGGTGCCGGCCGATGCCGCTGAGAGGAGGAGGAGCAGGAGGAGGAGGAGGAGGAGGAGGAGGAGGAGAAGGAGGAAGAGGAGGAGAGGGAGGAGGAGGAGAAGGAGGAAGAGGAGGAGAAGGAGGGGGAGGGACGACGTGGCAGGGGAGGGGGAGGGGGAGGGAGGGGGAGGCTGGCTGCCGACAGGAGAGGTCGGGGGGACCTTGTCTGGGACAGCGAGGG